GCGCGCGGTGGGCGGCGAGGCGTCCCCCTGGAGGGCGCGCTGGCGGGCGAGCCGCACCGCGCGCGGGGGCGGCCGCTGCAGGGTGGCGTATACGTGCGAGGCGTCGGAGGAGGACACGGGCGACGCGTGGTAGTACGACGCCACCTCGAAGTCGTCGTACATGCGGACGTCGAAGCTGTTGGCGGCGCTGATGGAGGAGCAGGTGCTGGCGTACTTGGACCATTCGTTGTCGTACGTGATGGCGGGCGAGGCGGCGTCCGTGGAGCTGCAGTCGGTCACGCTGGCGCCGTCGCTCCTGCAGTGGCCGTCCTCGCTGCCGCCGCTGTACACGTCGCCGGCGCACTGCCGCTTCTGCTTCAGCTCCTCGAAGTTGTTGGCGAAGGCAGCGCCGAACCTGGGGCTGACGGCGCGCACGGGCGAATTACCCGCGGACTTGGACACGTTGGCGTACGTGCGCTCGTACACGGGCGAGTCGTCGTCGTCGCCGCCGCCGGGCGTCTGGCCGAGCAGCTTGGCGGAGGCGGCGTCCTTCGGGCCGTCCGACTTCACCTCCAGGTCCTGCAGGGACGTCCTCGCCGCGTCCTCCGCCTCCTGCTTGGGGTCCACCTGCATGCAGAACCTGACGAAGCCCGCGTCGTTGAACAGCATGGAGGAGGGGCGGGAGGCGGTGCTGACGGGGATGGCCGTGGGCGCGTGGCCCTGGTGGTTCCACAGCAGGTGGATGTCGGAGGTGGTGGAGTGCAGCGTGGCGGACTTGCGGATGGAGGAGCGGCGCGCGGACGTGCGTGTAGTGTTGGCGTGGTGGTGCAGGGGCGGGGGCGGCCCGGGGGCGAGCGACTCCTCGAACACGCCCTTCCCGCACGCCTGCAGCGTGTAGTTTCTCACGGCCTGGCTGGCCTGGCACACTGTCGGGAACACCTCGTCGTCCTTGCCCTGCGAGTCGTCGTCGGCGCAGGCGCAGCCGCCGCAGCGCCGGCAGGAGAAGGCGGCCAGCAGCCTCGTCTCGCTCTTGTGCACGCTCTCGCGCTTGACGGGCGAGCCGCCCACGGGCAGCGCCGCCGCCGCGCCCAGCAGCAGCCACATGAGGACCTCGAGCACGCGGCACACACTCTGGTGGGCCAGCCAGTGCCACGGGTTCGTGGGCGGGAGTGCCAGCATGTCGGCCGGCCCAACGAGGGCGTACATGTGCAGCGCCGCCAGCAGCACCTGGGCGAAGGCCGCGGCCAACGTGAGGTGGGCGCCGCGCAGCAGGACGGCGCGCGGGTGCCGCGTATGCACCGCCGCCTCTGCGGGGGACCGGCTGAGCCGCACGAGGAGCTGCGCCGGGTGGCGCCCCGCCTCCCGCGCCGCCCGCCAGACGCCCAGCACACCGGCGATGCCCACCGTGCCGCCCCACGCCGCCGTCACGGTCCGCGCCGCCGCCCTCAGCGCCCCCGCGTGCTGCGGCAGCACTGCGGCGACGAGGTGCGCGCCCACGGAGGTCACCAGGTGGGTCACGGTGAGCACGGCGAGGCCCGCGGGCGCATGGTGCTTGCGCGGAAGGTGCCGCGGGCAGCGCCACGCCCGCACCACGGCCAGCGCCACCGCCGCCAGCGCCGCCGTCAGGCACGGCCAGCCTGCCTCCTCGACCACGGCCGACAGCGTCTCGGGCAGGCGGTGCTCGGCGCCGTAGGGGTCGTGGAACAGGTGCACGCAGCGCAGGAAGGCGGCCAGGAACATGAGCAGCTGCACCGTGATGTAGTAGCCGCGCGGCAGCAGGTGCGCGCCCGCGTGCACTCGCGACAGCCAGAACAGCGCCAGCAGGGCCAGCAGGCTATACAGGCCGGCGGCGCAGTACACGTGCACGACCCAGGCAGCACCCAGCTCGCGCACCCACGCCACGTTGCTCACGCCCACGTCCGCCCGCACGACGCCCGTCTCGTCGGGGGCGAGGCCGTCGTCCGCGCCGACCAGTGCGCCATCCTCGTCGGTCTCCACGAAGGGCGTCTGAACGGGGCTGTCGCCGACGCTGTTCACGCCCCTGTGGTGCCCGCCGCCCTTCGCCTCGGCGTCTCCCGCGGGCGGCGCAGACGACGGGTGCGAGTGTCGGCCCGAGTTGTGGCGGCCCCTGTGGGCGCCTCCTGCGGGCAGCGTGGGCTCGGGCGGCGGCGGGGGCGCGGGCGTGGTGGTGGAAGAGGTGGTGGGCAGCGTGGAGACGCCGTAGGCGACGCCGCGGAAGATGGCGGCGAGCGAGCTCTCGATGTGGTTGGTGGCGTTCTTGCGCGGGACGCCCGTCCACTTGGACAGCGGGCCCAGGCGGCTGTCATTGCCGCCGGCGCCGTCGCGGACCCTGGGTGCGGTGAGCGGCGCCGTGCGCAGCCCCACCTGGGCGCGCGCCGCCGCCGGGAGGAGCAGGAGCGCTAGGAGGCCGCACAGGGCCCCGAGGGCGGGCAGGGCGGAGAGCCGCATGGCTGCCGGGCTTCGCTGCTGCCTTCTGCGCCTGGTGTTGCCCCGTCGCTGTCTGCAAGGGACGAGGGGTCAGTGAGTCACAGCAGGCAAGCAAACAAGCAAACAATAAACAAACAAAGACGGCCTCTCGACGGCGCTGACATGTGCCGCGCAAACTCAATCAGGCCCGAAAATAACAATGAAAATAACAATTACACACAAAGACAATAGTCACTCCATCCGCTGATTACAATCCGCTGGAATAAAAAGGGAAATGAAACTACTCGCAGAAAAAGGACAGTAAATTAGCAGCAATTTAGGAAAATCAATCCATTTGATAAAATACGAAGCAAATTTCCACCTACCTCGTTCCTACCCACACACCAGCTCAAACAAACACACAAACAAACACAAGTAAACATTCCTTCACTCACATAGCCACACATACTCACCCCCACTCCCTTTCCCCACACCCCCACACCCCCTCACCCCCTCTACCCCTCACCCTCCTTCCTAATCACCCCCTTCCCTCCACACCCCACACCCCCACCCCCTTCCCCCCTACACCCCAAACTCACTCACCCCCTTTCCCCCCTTCCCCCACACTTCCTTCCCCCCCTTTCCCCCACATCCCCCCCTTTCCATCCCACACCCACTTCCCACACAAACACCCCCCCCCCCCCGCACGTGACCCCGGAGGTGCAATCAGGCAACGCCGGCGGTGGGGAAGTCACGTATAAAATCGACCAATGTAAAGAGAATTTGCAATTAAGCCAGCCAATAAAAGAATCGGTGCGATTAATTTGATGCGGAGTGACTTGTTTCACATTTAATTACTGTTCCTTCTTAGTCATTTTTTTTTTTTTTTTTTTTTTGAAGTCGTTTCAATCTTTTCTTCATTCTTTCTCTTTTTTTTCTTTCTTTCTTTCTGTCTCTGTTTCTGTCTCTGTCAGACTGATTCATTTATGCTGTCTCTCTTTCTCTCTCTCTCTCTTTCTCTCTCTCTCTCTTCTCTCTTCTCTCTTCTCTCTCTCTCTCTCTCTCTCTCTCTCTCTATCTATCTCTCCCTCCCTCCCTCATTACCTAAACCACATCCTTAAACTGCATATAAAAAAATAGAAGATAAAAAAAAAAAAAAAAAAAAAATGAATACACACAACAAACCAGGATCAGAAGCGAATGAAGAAGGATAGATGAGGAAGGGAGGTTGCTGGGGGGGGGGGGGGTGAGGGGAGAGGAAGAGGGAGAGGAGGAGGGGGGGGGATAGGATAATTAGGTTTTATTAATAGGGGCGAGACATGCCGTTTCCTCTGAAGGCGAAGGGAGCAGGAAGAAGGAGAAGGGGGGAGGGGAGGGGGGAGGGGGAGGGGGGAGAGGGAGGAGGGGGAGGAGGAGGGGGAGGGGGGAGGAGGAGGAGGAGGAAGAGGAGGTGGAGGAGGGGGAGGAGGAGGAGGGGAGGAGGGGGGGGGGAGGGGGGAGGGGGAGCGGTAGGAAGAAGGAGGCAGGACGGAGTGGGCGAAGGAGAGAGAGGAAAGGAGGGAGGGAGAGAGGGTGGGAGGAAGGAGAGAGAAGGAGGAAGAAGAGAAGGGAACAGGAAAGAGTGGGCGAGGAGGAGGAGGAGGAGGAGGGAGGGAAGAGGGTGGAAGAGGGATAGAAGGAAGAGAAGAAAGGAGGACTGGAGACAGCAAGGGAGGACAAGAGGGAGAGAGGAAAGGAGGGTAGGTAGGGGAACGGAAGGAGGAGGGGGGGAGGGAGGTAGGGAGGAGGAGAGGCAGCAGGAAGGAGGGGTGTGGGAAGGAACAGGAAGGAGAGGGGGGAGGGGGGAGGGGGGAGGGAGAGGATTCTAAAACAGAAGTCCTTTTATTATGGGGAGGGAGAGGGAGAGGGAGAGAGAAGGTAGGGGAAGGGAAGACGGAAACCACAAATGAAGATCATCTCTCTTTCTCTCTTTCTCTCTCTCTCTTTCTTTTTCTTTCTCTCTCCCTCTCCCTCTCCTTCTCCTTCTCCTTTTCCCTCTCCCTCTCCCTCTCCCTCTCCTTCTCCTTCTCCTTCTCCCTCTCTCTCCCTCTCCCTCTCCCTCTCCTTCTCCCTCTCCCTCTCCCTCCCTCTCCCTTTCCCTTTCCCTTTCCCTCTCTCTCTCTCCCCTTTCCATCTTCTTCCCTTTCTAACTTCTGTCTCCCTCGTCCTCCCCTCCATCTTCCTCCCTCCCTCTCTTCCCTTCTCCTGCTTCTTCTCCGTCTCCTTCTCCTTCTCCCCCCCCCCTCTCTCCCTCCCTCTCTCTCTCTCTCTCTCTCAGTCTCTCTCTCATCTTCTCTCTCTCTCTCTCTCCTCTCTCTCTCTCTCTCTTCTCTCTCTCTCTCTTTTCTCTCTCTCTCTTCTTCTCTCTCTCATCTCTCTCTCCTCTCTCTCTCTCTCTCTCTCTCTCTCTCTCTCGCTCTCTCTCTCTCTCTCCTCTCTCTCTCCCCTCTTTCCATCTCCTTCTCCCTCCCTCCCTCTCCCACGAAAAGCATCTAATAACCGTCGGTCATTTTGGTAATTAACTTCGTTTTTTCCGTCTCCTCTTCTTTCTCCTTCTTTATTCCTTCCTATGCCCATCCATCAAGCGGCTTCCTCTCCATTCCCCCTCCCTCTCTCCCTCCCTCCCTCCTCCTCCTCCTCCTCCTCCTCCTCCTCCTCCTCCTCCTCTTCCTCCCATTTACATCTCTCTCCTCCTCTTCCCTTTTTTTCTGGATTTTCATTTTTTTTTTCATTTTTTTTTTTTTTGTAATTACGAGGCAACTGGTAATTTTTGTGTTAAGTGTCATCCTATGATTTTTTATTCATTATTCTTATTTCTTTTTTTTCGGTCCCTATGTCAAGTAGCTTCTGACTTCTGACTCTGTTTGTCTGTCTGTCTGTCTGTTCTGTCTGTCTGTCTACCTGTCAGTTAATCAATCAGTCAGTGTTTGTTAGTCTGTCTATTTGTCTCTTTCTCTCCCTCCTCTCTCTTTCTCTTTCCCCTGTCCCCTCCTCTCTCTCTCTCTCTCTCTCTCTCTCTCTCTCTCTCTCTCTCTCTCTCTCTCTCTCTCTCTCTCTCTCTCTCTCTCTCTCTCTCTCTCTCTCTCTCTCTCTGTTTTCCTTCGATTACTTAGCCTCTCGTCTCTGTATTTGGCTTACAGCTTATCTTGTAAAGAAGCCGTCACGAGATTAGCGTGTGTGTGTGTGTGTGTGTGTGTGTGTGTGTGTGTGTGTGTGTGTGTGTGTGTGTGTGTGTGTGTGTGTGTGTGTGTGTGTGTGTGTGTGTGTGTGTGTGTGTGTGTGTGTGGGTGGGTGTGTGGGTGGGTGTCTGTGTGGGTGGGTGTCTGTGTGTGTGGGTGAGTGAGTGAGTGAGTGTGTGTGTGTGTGTGTAAGTGTGCGATTGCATATGTACGTGGTAGGAGTGTACGTCTTATGCGTATGTGCACACGAATGACTATAAATGCTTATGTGAATTCGCGCGTTGGCGTGAATGCTTGTGCGTGCGTGTACGTAAACTCATGTACATGTGACTACGTGTGTGTTTATGCATACAGACGTAAGCAAGCATCCATTAACGAAATTAATAGCAAACAGTCACTAAAAGCAGAAATAAGGGGTAACAGTACACTCACTATCAGGGAGAGAGAGAGACCAACGAACTTTTTTTTTTCTTTTTTTTCTTTTTGAGGCAACGATTTTTTTTTCTTCTTTTTGAGGCAACGATTTTTTTTTCTTTTTGAGGCAACGATTTTTTTTTCTTCTTTTTGAGGCAACGATTTTTTTCTTCTTTTTGAGGCAACGATTTTTTTTTTCTTTTTGAGGCACCGATTTTTTTTTTTTTTCTTTCTTTTTGAGGCAACGATTTGTTTTTCTTTTTGAGGCACCGATTTTTTTTTTTTTCTTCTTTTTGAGGCAACGATTTTTTTCTTCTTTTTGAGGCCTCTGTTAAAGGGAAGGAAAGGGGTTGGGGGGGGGAGGGTTAAAAGGATAGGTTGGAAGGGGGGGGGAGGAGGGAGAGATAAATAGAGGGATGGGGGGAGGGGAGGAAGTGGAAGGAAGGGGAATGGAAGAGGAAGAGGGATAGTGGGGGGGGGGAGAGAAGGGGGAGGGAATAGACATGGAGGCGAAGGAATAAGGAGGGAAGAGAAGAGATAGGTAGGAGGATGGAGAAGAGGAGAGGGAGGAGGAGGAGGAGGAGAATAAGGAGGAGGAGGAGGAGGAGGAGGAGGAAGAGGAGGAGAAGAAGGAAGAGGAGAAGGAAGTGGAGAAGGAAGTGGAGGACGAAGAAGAGGAGGAGGAGGAGAGTGGAGAAGATATAGGTACGAGGATGGGGAAGAGGAGAGGGAGGAGGAGGAGGAGGAGGAGGGGAATGGGTAAGGGGGGGGAGGGGAAAGGAGGGGAGGAGCTCGGGACACCACAAAGACCATTAATCTTGTGCATGCCTTTTAAAAAGAGGGGAAGGAAATCGAGGTGAAGACTAAGGGGGGGGGGGTGGAAGGGAAATGAAGGGGGGGGGAGGGGAAGAGGAGAAAGGATGGAGAACGGAGGAGGAGGGAGAGGGGAAGAGGAGAAGGGAGAAGGGGGAGGGAGGAGAAAGGAGAAGGGAGAAGGGGGGAGAGGGAAAGAGGAGAAAGGATGGAGAAGGGAGGAGGGGGAAGAGGGGAGAGAGGGGGAGGGATGAAAGGAGAGGGGAGGAGAGAGGAGGAGGAGAAAGGTAGGAGGGTGAGGGAGGGAGAAGGGAGGGAGGAGAAGGGAGAGAGGAGGAGGAGAGAGGCAGGAGGGGGTGGGGAGGGGGAGGAGGAGGCGCGCGTGTGTGTGTGCGTAAGGGTGAAATTATGATTAAAAGGTACATCTGTGGGGAGTGACAGGGGGGGAGGGGAGGATGAAAAGAGATTAGACGAGAGAAGAAATATTGAGGCGAAAGAGGACGAGGAAGAATCAAGAGAGAGAAAAAAAAAAAAGACGTGTTGACAAATGATTAAAAATTCGAACAATGAAAGACATACGAACATATCCTAAAATTAAACACAAAAGACGGACAAACAATCAAAAAAATATATTATTCAACACCTATCC